TTTTTTTTTATTTGCAATGCAAACTTAAAATGAAGATAACGACTAAATGATCTTATCTAAAAACACGGTATACATATCCGTAACCTACTGCCCAAAATTAATTTTACGTGTCTCGGCAGCAGCACCTGCGGTATGCGAGGCGAAACCGCCTCGTTCTACAATTTCTACCTCTGGGGGATCCTCAACGGATAGTCGCTTGGGGGGTAAGAACGCGTCGAAGCCGACGCACTTAAATGCTTCCGGGGGGGGGCAGGTGCTGTCGCCACTGAGAGGGCAGGAGTGCCGGAACCAGACTCCGTGGGGGTCTCTAGACAAGGGGCCCGACTGAGAGGGCGATTAAGGGGGTGCTAGACGGAATCGCCAGCACCAGCGCGGGCTCCTCTCCCAGTCTTCCGGGTCTGTTCTCGAAGGCTCCCCACAAGAAGCCTTCGGGAATGCCTAAACGGCAAACATCGTCGGGCCGAAAGGCTTACTCCGACAGGCGCATGGCTACCAAGATTTTGGAGCTTACTGAGAAACATTTGAAACCGCTCGAGTGAGATGAGAAGGTTAAGAACCCGACGAAAGGAGACGCGAGTGTGTCTCCTACGGGTCCTAAGTGACAAAGGTCTCAAGAGGGAGAAGGCTCCCACGCAAAAAGACCCAGGAATGGGGTTGCGCCTGCTCTGTTCAGCGAAATCGCTAAGCAGGTGGGATCAACTACCCTGGGGGTCCTCGATCGAGGCAGAGAAGATGGCACCATATCCAGGGAAAACTGGAGGCGCGTGGCAGCAGCCATCTCCTCTGTCTTTCTGAAGGTGGTCAGAGGAAACCCTGGTCCACCTCCGCGCTGTGAGGATGGTGCGTGGCATCATGGCATCCACAAAAGAATTGTATGCGCCGACGAGCAGTCGGCATCATTATACAAGTCTGCAGTGTCTCTGGTGGGGGAGGTTTGGGAGGGCGCCAAGCTGGAAGCCGTGGAGGAAAGGGATCTTCCTGCCCGCCCGCGGGCCCGCGTCTGGCTCCTCCCCGAGCCCTCCGCACCGGAGGAGATTGAGGAAATCCTCCGGTACTGCAACCCGCATCTGCCCACGAGTATTCCGAGGAGTCGCATCGGCAAGCGCTGATACTACTCAATGCGGAGTCCCTTGGTCCTCTCGCTGAATCCAGGGGAGTCATCACCTATGGATTCGAAAGGGTAGTCCTTAGGGTCTACCAATCCGATTCCAGGGGTGATGGCTCTCAACCTCCAGAGGCGCTGGAAACACGTGAGCCCGTGGCGGAGGAAGCCCTCATGAGTATGGAGGTAGAATCCGTCATGTCGGGGGCCGAAAGTGCTGAGGATGCTCTCTCAACGGAGGGATCGGACGGTTCTACGACAGGGCGGAGGAAGAGAGGCTCTTAGCCTCAGTAAACGAGGTCGTCAAACTGGCGTGGCTGGAGCGGACTTTGGAGGATGAAGATCCTGCAAATAAACCTCCAACACACTAAGGCGGCGTCCGCAAATCTCCTTATCCACCTTAAGCAAGGTGGAGCCGACGTAGTCCTGATCCAGGAGCCGTGGCTAAGCAGTAGCGGTATCTCCGGGATCAGGACGCCTAATTTCAAGCTGATGGTGCAGAATCTAGCAGGTAGACCAAGATCCTGCGTGCTCATCAGAAACGAATTCAAAGCACTAATTCTACCTAATTTCAGCAACGAGGACATTGTGACTGTCAGCCTGGATAGCGGTGCCAGAAAGCTCTGGATTATATCCGCATACATGGCTCATGACGACGAGCTGGAACCACCCCCATTACTGCTACGTGAAGCCATAGCCGAAGCGAGGCGACGGAAAGCCGATGTAATCATTGGATCAGATGCAAATTCACGACACTCGTGCTGAGGAAGCTCAGATATCAATGCAAGAGGTGAGTCACTTTTTGATTACATTCTAACTGAAGACTTATGTATCTGTAATAGAGGAAACGAACCGACCCTTATCACCGCGGCAAGGCAAGAGGTCCTTGACTTCACCCTAGTCTCGTCTTCTGTAATATCCCGCGTTTCCGACTGGACGAAGATCGTCCCAAAAGTATCCCCTTTAGGAACCTTAGGAGAACAAACTGGGACCTCTATAGTAAAAAACTTAGGGAACTACTCCCAGAGGCCCCCCCGGAGAGCTTAAGCACCGAAGGCTCGATTGATGTTATGGTGGATAAGTTTACATCAGCTTGTAGGAGTGC